AAATCATTGTATTTCCACCTTATCCCCCCCAAAAGCAATTAAAAGGTGAGGAAGGAACTCCATTGTGGAGTATAGCTGTTTTGTTGAAACTGCACAGACATTTAAGCTATACATCATATGACTGCAGAACTTGGGACACATTTTCTGTGCGTTGCTCTTAGAATGGACCAGCATCCACATATGCAAAGCTTTTGTTTCTTTGCCTGCCGTAGCTATCAGGGGTGAATACTCAGAAGTTTCTGTTAGCGGGGTCCACAGATTCCAAGGTGCAGAGTAGATTCCAAGCTCAGTAGCATAAATAGACATTAACATAGTTCATCTAACCACTATGCCCACAGTCACCATGATTTATCTTCTCTCTGCTTTGCCTGTCTCAGTCAGCAATGCTTCGTGGCTGTGTCTGCCAGCAGGGCAGAACTGCCCGCTGCAGAGTAATTAGAATAATTAGACAAAACTGCAAACAGTTCCCCTCCAACTGATACATTTTGGTCTGTGGTGATCAAATTTTGTCCATCTTTCTGGTCACCTTTTTGCCATGGCAAAATGATGTCTGCTAGCACTAGCTCTGAATAGCTTCCCTGGCATTTCCTACAGCTCCACCGAGACCGTGGGATGTTTGCTTCCTTCTCGTTTGACCTGTCGATATATTCTTGATAGACGTATTGATTCAAGAACATTGTTGGAGTCCTGATATGTACCAGATCCAGAAATTCTGTTCTGTGCACTGCTTTACAGGTGTGCCCACCCTCTGCAGGAGGCAAGAGTTGTGAGACATAGTAAGAAGTAGATACTTCATCATTTTTTCATATTCATTTAAAAAAAAAGTATACTGCTGTTGGTATATCCTAACAGCAAAGATGTGAATGAAACATTAAATTCTGGATACGGTACATGATGGCAGCAAAAGCTATAAATTCCAGGACTTGCAAATCAATGAGTAGCTGGTGCTGAGGGCAGGAGGTTGCTCTGAGGGGTGTGTGGAACAAATGTCTTGCAACTCCTACCGCAGGTGTAGTCGCAGGCCTCTGCAGCTGACACCTTAAATGGAAATGATGCCGCAGAACTGATAATGGGCTTTGAATCAGGGCTTCATCACAATGTGGAGACTAAAGGTGGTACGTCCTCAGGTCACTGCAAAAGCAATAGTGTGTTTGAGGAACAGTGACAGCTCACATCTCGTCCTCCTGCAGCTACTCCTGAGCGGATGGGAGATTAATTAATCCCCACGAGACTTATGTGAAACTGGTAGATAAGTATCATTATTACAGGTAGAAAAGAAATGAGAAGGAAAAAATTTCTGCGCTTGTACCATAAGCATTGAATGGAAACTGCGCCACTGCAGTTTCCTGTCAGGTGCTCTTCCTTCATATACCCAAAATTACATGAACGATGTACCATATTTTGTATAAATATAAATATTAATAAGGTATATACTAAAGTCACAAAAAATAATTTTTGAGTATTCATCACATAAGAAATATTCAAGTAATGAGCACATGCAATACTTATAACTAAATAATCTGAGGCAATATATTATTGCATCAAGACAAGTGTACATAGAGTAGCACTCTGATTTTCAAAGTATAGTCGATGCATTTCACTCCTCTAAACAGGAATTCTGCACGTAAGAGTAGGCCTGAGTGGAAAGCAGAGAGAAACCTAAGCGTCATCTTCAGTAAATACATAAATAAATGATGATGATTAATAACTCGCCAGTCTCATACAGGGCTAACACATTTTCAGTACAGGCTGATAGCAGCTGCTCTGGAGACACGTGAAGCCGTGTCAGTGTGCCAGCGCAGCCCGAGGTAGTCTCAAGTGGGATGGATGCAAGCCAGTGCATTAGAGGGGCGCTTTATCTCGGGACTTCCTCTCAGGTATGATTTTCTAGCACTGAATACAGTGAGACCTTCCTCTTGGCAACCCTGGGACAGACTCTTGCCTCCTCTACCAGTCATGGCCTTTTGCACAGTTCTGTCTCCTCTTTCCATTCCCAAATCTCAGTACCTGGATTTTGGATGGATGTCAGGTTCATGTCAGGTGATCGTAGGGCTGGGGACACCTGGGCATTCAGCCCACTGCTGGCCAGAGGGCTTGTGCTGGTGGCGCCTACCACTGGTGCAAAATGATGTCCAGACTGGAGTGTCCCCTTCTTCCACCTGCCAGGATGCAGAAAGGCTCACTCCCAGGTCCTGTCATCTAACTATATGGAGATAACTGATACACAGAATAACAGAATCACAGAATGTTAGGAGTTGGAAGGGACCTCGAAAGATCATCCAGTCCAACCCCCCTGCCAGAGCAGGATCACCTAGACCAGGTCACACAGGAACATGTCCAGCCGGGTTTTGAATGTCTCCAGAGAAGGAAATGCATCTGATGGTCTCTGAAAAACTTTAGATGAGCATCACTGAGTGCTGCGACTCAAGCTGAGAACCGTTCCGCAGAGAGTGTTGGCTTGGTTTTCCCAGCAGTTCCCCCTTGTTTTAGGCTTTGTCAGGAGTCACACAGAATCACAGAATCACAGAATCACAGAACGTTAGGGATTGGAAGGGACCTCAAAAGATCATCTAGTCCAACCCCCCTGCCGGAGCAGGAACACCTAGATGAGGTTGCACAGGAAGGCGTCCAGGCGGGTTTTGAATGTCTCCAGAGAAGGAGACTCCACAACCTCTCTGGGCAGCCTGTTCCAGTGCTCTGTTACCCTCACTGAGAAGAAGTTTCTTCTCAAATTTAAGTGGAACCTCCTGTGTTCCAGCTTGTGTCCGTTACCCCTTGTCCTATCATTGTTTGTCACCGAGAAGAGCCTGGCTCCATCCTCATGACACTCACCCTTTATGTATTTATAAACATGAATAAGGTCTCCCCTCAGTCTCCTCTTCTGCAAACTAAAGAGACCCAGCTCCCTCAGCCTTTCCTCATAAGGGAGATGCTCCACTCCCTTGATCATCTTTGTAGCCCTACGCTGGACTCTCTCCAGCAGTTCCCTGTCCTTCTTGAACTGAGGGGCCCAGAACTGGACACAATATTCCAGATGCGGTCTCACCAGGGCAGAGTAGAGGAGGAGGAGAACCTCTCTCGACCTACTAACCACCCCCCTCCTGATACACCCCAGGATGGCATTGGCCTTCTTGGCCACAAGGGCACAGTGCTGGCTCATGGTCATCCTGCTGTCCACCAGGACCCCCAGGAGTCCCTGGAAATCAGTGGGAAAATTCGTGTCGACTGCCACAGGCTTCTTATCTGCATTGCCACACATCTCTGCAAGTGTTGCTCGTTGTGATGTGTCCATTTTCTTTTTTCTTTGCAGTGCGATGTCTTGGATCAGAATTTGTTAAATTTCCTCCCAGAACAAGAACATTCAGAAATTTATAAGATGTTATCTTCGTGTATGCTTATGACGGATTCTGCCTCATCGGATTACCTAAAAAGTAAGTTTTGTTTTGTCTTTCCCAGTAAATGAAAAACCACAGGCAGGATAAGAAATTACTCTCAGAAAGAGCTTTTTATGTCATGTGCAATATAAAATTTAGGTTCAAAGCCTTTTAAAAATATCTTGCCACCTGGAATGACCCTTTGGTGCTATTTTTAAATGAAACTCATTGCCTTTGTTTTACTAGGGTAAGACTACTTGCAGTTATGTTAATTATTAAATATCGTATCTTTTGAGACAGCTAAGGAAAATAGGTTATCCGATGGAAGCAGAGTTCGCCTGAGACAAATCACATTTCAATTGATATTTCAGCCTGTACAATTAAGATGCTACTCAGAGATGTGCTTATGTCTCATACCTTTGGTTTGCTTCATAGTTGCAAAGTACCAGTAAAATCATTGTAATTCTGTTTCAAATTAGATTTTGTTTTTCTTTAAAGCCCTTTTACTTGCCCCACCCTTATTCACTCTAGGAGGTAAGGCGCAGGAAACCAGAAAACGTGATAATAGAGGACATACAGCTGCTTAATCTACAGTAGGTACAAAACCTGCAGCTGATAGCTAATATGCCAAAGTTAATTTAATAGATATTTTGAGGTGATTAGGCATAGTTTTCCAACGCAAGATGTAGAACAGCTGTGAGTCGTGAAAAGCCTAAATAGAAAAAATAAAAAAAGCAGCTATAAATGAAGGATGCAATTCTCTCCTTTGCTGCACCCATGCTAATGCAGAGCAACTCCTGTGATGAAGGTGGTGTAAGGGGAGGGTGAGTTACTCTGAGTCAGTCCCGAAAGCTGTCCCTGGGCTGCAGACAGACCTGTGCACAGTGCAGATCGACCTGCATCCCTGTGAGGCGCTTCCTTGCAGAGGCTCTGATCCTGCAAGGTGCAGCAAGCTCATTGGTGTACAGGGCTCTGAGTGGTAACAAACTGCCCTCATGCTGCCCGTTGCAAGATTGGGGTTGGAAGACACCATTGGTTGTGTTCAGCTGAAATAGTATATTTATTTCTTCTTCTTTTAACAATCCAGCTGACAATGAACTGGAGTTTTATTGTCATCTTCTGAGAGGAAGTTTGAACCCAAAGGAATTTCCAACATACGAATACATAAAATTTGTAGGAAATTTTCGGTCTTACAGCAATGGTAAGCTTTAATTGTTGTATAAATGTTACTTTAGCTGTGTAAAATAAAATATAAGTATTGTTCCATTGAACAACACAGGCTTTTAACTGAAAGGACTATTTCTAGCATTATGGGGTAAATTTTGCTTAATGTGAATCTCGCAGCTGATTTGCAATAGCCGGACGAATACCTATGAAGAGTGAAATTGTGTTAGTTGCTTTTGTGACTGCCCTTCACTTATTAGCAGTGATTCTGGATGCTGGGTAAGTCTGCAAATAACGACAGGTTCAGAGGAGGGTTTGTTTGTGCTCACTAAAACTGTGCGCTGAGACTCTAGCTATTAGCTGCATAATAAGCTTGCTGCCTTATCTGCCTCTGAGAAGAGCCTGGCTCCTTCCTCCTGACACTTGCCCTTTACAAATTTATAAACATGAATGAGGTCATCCCTCAGTCTCCTCTTCTCCAAGCTAAAGAGACCCAGCTCCCTCAGTCGCTCCTCAGAAGGGAGATGCTCCACTCCCTCAATCATCTTTGTGGCTCTGCGCTGGATTCTTTCAAGCAATTCCCACAGAGGAATACAGAGGGATTTTTATTTTTATGTAAGTCAGATTGTGAAATAAAACAGGTTATGTTATAATGATAATTTTACTTGCAGTCTTCTGTGGGTAGTAAAGTTTAACAAAGACATTTTAGATTTGCAACAGTCCTGAATTTTGGGACTCCTAAGCCATTTTTTCAATCTTGTTGAACATCAGTAGTAATGGGCACAGACACACTTGAGGGCAGGGAAGGAGGGCAAAGGTGGGAAGGATGAGCAATTCTTAGAGGAACAAACAAATTGTGCGTAGAACTCTAATAGCCCTGGCTATGAGTGGTGATGGATCACCTGGTTTGTGGTAAGGAAAAGCTGCCGTGCATCCTGTGGATACCATTGCAGATGGTGCAGATTATGTTTAATGTACTTACATTAAACATGAGCTCTGTGCCAGAACTGATAATCTGCCAGATCTGCCCTCTCGCTCTGCAAAATTCTGGGAGACGGCGGCAGCACCACGTACTTGAGCGCCTGCACCCACCGCCCCGTGCTGCGGTGAGGGGTCCCCTGCTGCTGGCATCGTGGTGGCTGAGGACCCTCATCCGCCTCCCTCTCCAGATGCCATTTTGCATTCCTCTCCAGCACTGCAGAACCCAGTACCCTAAAAAAAAATATTAAAAAATAAAGAAATACAGTCAGCATAGTCACTAATGCACCACAGTCAGTCTAGGGAAACCATTTTTCAAGGGACAAAGAGCAGATTTCCACCTTCCTCGTTCCCTAACAAACAGATTGCTGCACAGCCATTAGTGTCAGAAATGAAATACTCTTTTATTACTTTCCCTTCTCCTGCCTGCCCAAGTTTGCTTTAGTTACTTGCCTGAGTGAACTCCGGAGTGGCATTTCCAAAGTTGCTGGTATTGTTCCAAATAGGTCATCCTCAGCAAAAAATTCCCCACTGTGCTTTCCAAAAACTGCACGCCACACTGCGAAAAGAAATGTCCCTGTCCCCATTTAACTTCCTGCTCTTGCTCCACATGACTAGAATAGAAACCGATGTGCAGGATGGAGATATGTATTTCTTGTTTGGTGCCATCTGATTTGAGGCTTTATTTGTATTGAAAAATGTAGCTGCCTGTATGCTTTCTAGTTTGAATGAAGCGAGATGCGGCTGCCTGACAGACGCGCACACCAAGCTGTTCTGTTTTCTAGAGCAGAAACCGGATTTCAGGTGCTGACTCATAAGGATACATTTCTACCAGGGGAATTTCTGATCCATTTTCTTCAAGGATTTTCAGCCTTTTATTTTGGCGTGACCTTAATATTGCCCTCTTACCCATTAGGATTTCATATCTCAGCATTTGTATCGGTGGCTATTTCTCAGAAAAAAAGATAAAACTTGCATTACAGATGTCTTCCCCAGCTTAATGCATACAAACTGAATGGGAACATATTGATTTCAGAAGACACCAAATCATTTTCAAAAGACCCCAGCTTACAGCTTTCAAAAAGGACCTATGCTTTCTGCTTCAATTTTTTTTTCTTTGTGCCACCTTTTTCAAAGCTTCCACTTTATTTTGTCCCTTCCTCTTTGTTCCCATCTCTGCTGCAATCTGACCCTCTGGTTGATTGGGAGGGGATGGCCTTTGCCCCCACTCTTTGAGATGGTGCCTCCTGGTCCCCTTCCCCTCTCCCCGCCACAGGACAGCAGCTTGACCATCCTGAGTAGTTTCCTCATTTCATTGCAGAGCCTGGTGGAAATATTTGTTTCACTGGTGCAAGACACCAGCATTCCCAACACTGCTCCCCCATGGCCACACATCACCCCCATGACCACCTCTTCCTCCTGCCCCCACCAACCTGGCTCCTAATCCAGCCACAAAACCACCTCCCAGCAAAGGTGGAAGCAGGCGCGTTGGACTTGGGATGTAGCAGCAGCAAACTCTGTTTGCTTGGGAGCTGATAACCGTGGGCCAAGGGCAGAGCAGGAGGAGGGAGCAAACCTCTGAAGCTGGGGGGGAGATTGGTGAGGGAGAGACGTATCACTCGCAGGGCAACACTCATCCAATGTGCGTAGGATCAGCTGGCCCCAAATCCTGCTTTTCGGAGGTGTTTGTGGAGGAAGGAGGCTAAGCTAAAGACAAGAAAAGAGTCAGCTGAACATACTGTGGGGGGAGAAAGACAGAAATTGCAAATAAGGCTTAATTAGCAGGAGAAGCTCCTTATGAATGTATTCAAGAATGCTTTTCCCTGTAGCTTTTCACAGCAGTGGAAGTGTGAGCATGTTTTTACACATGAGAGACTGATACAGGATGTTCTTCTCTAAATACAAATCTCTGCCCTTCCTCTTTAGCCATCCAATGACAAATCCTACCTTTGTTTCCAGCAGTTCGCTGAGTGTACTCTGAGTCCACCTGCATGTTCCTGTGGCAGGGACGCCAGAGCCTCTGTGGCCGGGGAGGCGCTCTCATCCCTGGGCAGGCTGCATCCCGTCTGTATACTTAACTATCCCATTCTCATTAGTGCAGTGTCATGGCAGTGACAGTGCTAGCAAAGCTTTCACCTTCTCACTTAACCTTGGCTAATGTTTTGAAGAACTGGCAGGTCCTTTTTTTGCCCTCTTGAACAGAGATGTCACTAGCTTTATTCTACTTCCACATAACCTTTGACATAACCTCCCTTGAATTATCATCTTCTTAGGCTCCTTTTATTATTGTTCATTGCTTATGTAGTAGTGGTGCTTGGGGGAAGGGGGTCATGCATGCTGGGGTCCCAGTGACCTTACCCCCCCCTTCCTCCTCCCTTGTACCTTCTACATTAATCACATTATGACTTATGGCTGGGAACATCATATTGGGATGGGTTTGAATGGATTAATGTGAAGGACTGAGCCTTAGAAAGCCAGTTAGGGGCTTAGCTGCTCTCCCTAACTTTAGTGGGGTCTCTAGGACTTTAAGGCCATTCTACTAAGATGACAAAGACGATTTTTTTTTCTGCTAGAACATATATCTGATATCTACCAAGGTGACTTGTTACCAGGATTGCTGTCAGGGAGTCAGATCACACACAGCCTGAATCTAACCCATGCTACTCCCCTAGAGGAGCAGTCGTCATCACCATTCCCCCAGCCAAGAAGGGGCAGGGAGATGCATGTGCAAGCCCCAGATACTACCCAGGAAAGTTCACATAGCTCAGGGCATGTGTTCAGTCTTTCAGAAGATCACTGTCCCTAGAGCTCCCGAGCTCAGCTATGGCTGGAGGCTAGAGGAGCTGCACCGGCCCAGTGCTATAGGGTTAGCAGGAGCGTCCATGCTTGCGCTGGTCCCAGGGATGGTGCGCGAAAACCCAAACTCTGTAACCTCTGCTGCAAGGACATTTCTGCAGCTGTATCTACACTGGGGATGTGACATGAGCCACTTGCACATGAGCAAACCTCCCTTCCCCCTTAAATTAGCTGTGCCCAAGCGAGAGCGGCCGATCAGTGAAACAGCAGTGCAAGCTGTGCGGAGTGACTGCATGAGTCACCGGCTGTGCTAAGTCAAATACAAGAGATTTTATTTTCCATTTGGGAAGATTATATAATCATCATTAATTAAGCTTCTGTGAGAAAAGTAGGACTGTAACCTGACGTGAAGGCTCAGGAGTCCCTTGAGAAGAGGAGAAGTGGCCCACGGGCCACTCAGAAGAGAAAGGTGGAGTTCCCCCTTTGCTTTTATGAGAAATACCCACTTGCTCTTGAAGCAAAAGGTTTTTCTTTTCATTTGCAAATAGGAACTCTTTCCAGTATTTTTATATCATTCATATTCTGGTCGTGTAGTCCAGATTTTAACTGAATTTGGGGAGCTGAATACATCCAAACATCTGAGGGAGTGATCACTGTACCTGTTGACCCATAGGACCTGATAAGGAGCAGAGTCACGATGGCATTGCTGATGAATAACAGTGGATCCCATCTAGTTTTGCCTGAGGGCTGGGGGGAGGAGGCAAGTAATAAGGAAAACCCTGAAAAACAAACTCTAAGGAAATGTATAGCTTCCAGTATAAAATGTCAAATTAAGTGAAAATAAATTATTTTACAAAGCCGCTTAATAGCTCACTCTGATAAGAAGAGATAAGGTGGGCTGGATTTATCCCTCCTGTGAAAATTGTTTGTGCGTATGTAAACAGAAAAAGATCTCTCACAATTATATAACCAAATATTGGCTTGGGTACCCTATTTCTGAGGTGACATACTTGATTAAAGGCTCCTGAAAGGAACAAAGCCAGAGTCCTGCCTTTCAAAGTGTTCACCAAAAGAAAAAAGGGCCACCAGCACCTTTAAAGTGGCTGATCCATCCTTTCATCCAAAATACCTGAAGGTTTCCTCTTAAAGGAGGAGATAACCGTTACGTGAAAAGAGTTCCTCATCAAGTAATATAATTAAATATTATAGTGGAATTTAAAACTGCGTATTTTTGTTCCCAATTATATGCAAACTCAGGAAGTATCTGGTTACTGGATGCTAATAATAGCAGATACTCTAATGTTAGCTGATATATCTCTTAGAGATAAGAGTAACCATCACGAAAATTAGTACGCTTGGGAGAAAAAGAAATCTTTTCACTCCCAGAACAATTAATTCAATCTGAATTCCCTTTTAAAGGAAATAAACAGATCTATACAGAAGATACAGTGATCTTGAGGCTCCATAAGCATATGCAGAAGCATCTGATAACACAAATAACTCAAACTGAAATGAGTGTTTTGATCAGAACTGACAGCCACATATTATTATTTACTATTAACAATATCATAGAAGCTGCAGCTAGCAATCTGCAGCACTTACGCTGGGCTGTCTATGGGCACTTAAGAAAAAAGGCAGCATTTCTGTCCTAAAGAATTTACTTGGGGTCCCTATCAACGCAGGATGGTGAGGAGAGAAGCAGGAGGAGGAAAGAGGAGGGAGAAGATCAAAGCAGACAAGTGATGTATGGACACCGTCACTGTTACTCATCCGATGCTACTGAGTGCAGTCTGGATTGCCACTAGCACTTTAGACTTCATCATTATATATATGAGCTGCTGAGTATTCTGTTTATCTGGGGTCTGAATTTATTTATATGAAACAATCTTGATTTTATTCTGGTCTGTTTGGCTTGTGTTTTTTGAAATCACTGTTCAGTTTGCTTGACAGTCACTAAGATTCGTTCTTTAAGCATTAACATCTACTGACAAAATAGAGAGGGTCTGCTTCTTTCAAATGGCATAAATGAGAGGTTTGCTGTTAGAAGAGTATGTTGTAAACATCCTAAGTCAAAATAAGATGACCGAGCAACCGACTGCTGTACTATTGTTAACTGAATCATGTGGCATCTGGGTTTTTTAAAATATGTTTTCATTCATTTCATGCGGCATGATTTGTATCCCTAAGGATAATATTTTTTTGTCTGTGGAAGTAAAGGGCTTGGCTCCTTATATATATTAGTTATTTTAAACATCTTCTCTTTACTGTCGTGGTCCTTTTTATGAAAAAGGAAACCCAACCAAACAGACAAAAAAGCAAACAAAAAAAACCCACAATCAGACCTGTATATATGCAAATCAGTTTCTTTCTATCTTCTTATATGATACTTGCTGGTAATTTAATATTTCTTCTACACAAGAATTTTGTGGTAGCTGTAAGAGCAGCAGGTGTGATAGGTAACCACACAAACTATTAAAATTCATGCTAAGGAGTATCAGCTAACTGAGAGGTATGCGACAACTGTTTCACCTTTCTGATTATGTATTTAGCTTTGTCACATGACTTTCTAATTCCCTACTCAAGATATTTTTCCTAGATCATTTAATTGTGAAACACACATGCCCTCATTTACCCAAGCCCACCTGTTTATAGCCGGCTTACCATTTTCATCAGGCGCCTTCTTGCAAAAGCACTCCAAGACCTATATTTGACTTATAAATGTTAATATCATCATAGCTGCAGACTTCGTCCTATCTTTGCCATTCAGCTGTTTTTCCATGGCGCTCTCAGAAAGTTTGCCACTGAACTTTGCTACTTCAAGATGTTGTATGTTTCTTTTAAAGAGACTTGGAGAATTAGAAAGTATGATTTTTCAGAAGGCGTGCCTAAAAGATTACACAGGGATTTATTTTTTTTTAAATTCATCTGATGATCTCTTTTTTTAACTACACTTTAAAAGTTATCAACAAAAAAAGTTGAGATTTGCTGAGCAGCTGCCAGAGCAGAGCAAAACAGGCCGTGCAGATAGAGCCGTGGGAAGAACAGATACCAATTAAACAACCAAATAAATCAGGCAGCAAAGTAATTCAGAAACAAAATGTGGGATTTCGGTTATTGCAGTTGTTCTTTTCAGACCAAGATGTACATTTCAAGGTGGTGGCTACCTGCCTGCATCATCGAGGCTTTTGGTGCTTTGGGTTTTGTGAAGGGCACCTGAGCATGGAGATGGCCCAGTAGCTGTTCAAAGACTGGGTGACCTTCAGCCAGGCCAGCTCTGTCTCATCTCCTTGGGTTTATTCATTCACTGCCCCTAAGTTCAACATTCCCAAATGTTGTGATGAAATACCGAAGTGAATATGTTGCTGTACTAAATGATAATTATTACCCTTTTAGTAGTGCACTTACCTCTTGGAAACGCAATCCTATTTTGTAAACGCCACATTCAGGGATACATTCTGCTCTCTTCTGGGGATACGTCTCAGGCTTATGGCTGTTTACATCAAAAAGCTGATGTACAAAAGCCATCAGCTCTCTTTGATGCAACTCGGTCTCCACCAAGCATTTCTTCTGCAACTGATGTCATTTGCAAGCCCATGGGTTCACTAACTAGGTGAAATTATCATACCTGCACTTCAGAGGCTGAATGTGCTCATCTTATTTTCATATCTGAGAGCCCAGCCTGCACACACTTGCTTCTGAACTTGGCTATTACAGAGAGAAATGGCCCCATTGACTTCAAATGTGACAACATACTAGGTAGTAAGCTTGGAAGTAACTTTTTACAATGCCCTTAATATGGGTTTATAGCAATACCATTAATTTTTAAACAGGACTGACTACAGAAATTGACAGACTTGCAAAAATAATCATACCAGAGAAGAACCAGTAACTCTCAACTCTGGCTTCTCCTGTCTCCTGTAGCTCCTACCTCCTTCTTCTTTTTTTCCACCTCTTGTATTAATAATCCCATAGAAGCCCTCGTATATGCACATAACCCCAGGAGCAGAACAGGAATACATATTCCTAGGAAGTCCCCAGAGCAAGTGTGCTTTGCTGGTGAAAGGAGGAAAATTTTGCCCATATTTTTAATCTTAATATCCAGTCAGCCATGCCCTCCAGACTCAACTGCAAGAAAGGGCTGTAATCTCTGTGGATGTTCACATCTGCATTGCCTTCTCAGATGAGGAATCTTTCTTCCCCTTTTTGGCGCAATACATATATATATATAGTGCACACAGTGGCCTAAACCAATTAATCCTGGGTGGGAATTCTCCTCAGAGTACTTATTTTTCTGTCTCATATCCTGTTATCCTTGTTATCAGCTATGTATCCTTATTCTAAGGCTTTTAATAGGTTGAACTCTGTTCCAAAAGCCCATGTGATAAATTGAGACTCCTTCCATCTCTACAATTTATGCCCGTGAACTAAAGCCCATTGCAGAAACACCCCAGAATAAAAATTGCTAGTGACCTCCTCCCAAGATAGATACAAAACTCTTCATTTTCATAGGAATGGACATGCTTATCCTTGCTTTGTCTTGTGCAGTACAGACAAACTGCAGGAAACTTGGATATAGAGGGCTAATAGTAAGGAATAATAGTTCCATATTAGCATTAATCCCTATTAGCATTAGATTGACTCATATTGGTGGTCTCTGGCTGCTAGATGGGACCTTTGCTGCCCCCATGGGAGACAGTCAGCTGAGCAGGGCTAGAGCCCATAGGGCCAGTCCCATTTCCACTGCAGCTTGGCACACAGTTGTCTTTCACTGCTGTGGGAGTGGGATTACCATCTCTAAACAGCTCAAATGTGGATGAAGAATTTGCATTATGCCATTCTACCATAGGACTGTGGGCTAGCTTAAGGCAGTGCATTCTTTGGGCAACACATTTCTATGGCAGGAGGTGCTAGTGGGCCCTCAAAGCAACCCAAGAGCCATGCAACCAAAAAAAAGACACAAAATCTGTAGCCACATTGCATCCAGCTTTTCCCTTCTGCCCAGTGTTTCAGGAGAAAGCAGGCCATCTGCAGGCTCACTAGAGATGCCCAGCTCTGTAAGCCAGTGCCTTACACAGAGTCCTCTTTGCTCTCCTTTAAAACAAGGAGAACTTGAGCACGCTGAGGGCAGCTCTTAGATGCAGAAAGGGAAGATGCACTTCAGCAGCCGTGAATCACACGCAGCCTCTTGCTAGCTCGATGAAGCCTCGCTGGCTGTGGGCCTGGGTGTTTTGCCACTGATGACTTGACGAACTCTTTTCAGCTCCCTCCCTTGCCAATGCTTGTTTTCACTGCCTCATGGAAGTTAGCACGCTAGGCATACTGCAGCATATATTTTTCTCTTGTGAATGATGAAAAAGAGCAATTGGATGCGTGGGGTTTCTTTCCAGAAAGCTGGTTTATTCTCTGTAATAAGGTTTGGCCTTATTTTTATCAGGATTAACCTATAAGATTCATACTTGAAGTTAAGCGCTGATGTCTTTCTGCCTAACATGACTGACTTGGATTTAAATATATGCATATCAGCTTTAAAAGCTTTTAGAGCACTTCTCTGAATAAAATTAGTATTAGTATGCTTCAAGTGTGCAAAATATTCAGGGAGAGCAAATCTCATATGAGGCATGACTGCGGGTCCCATTTTTTTCCCTACCTAGTGCCTAACTCCACTTGCAATGGCTTTGACGAGGCTGTCCCAAGGGCTTACAGAGCACCCCCAGGGAAGCAGATCTGCTTCGTTGCGACTGTTCGTTTGGCAACGCCTCAGTTTTTAAAGGTAAGTGCGTGCCCTGGATCCCCTTCATTTCAGAACTTCTCAAAACACTTTCAGACGAGGTGACACACACAAGTTCTTAATTGTGCTAATTGAATGGATTACAGATATCACATTACATGCGTAAAAATCCAGTGAAGAGGATTATCAGTGCAAAGCAGGATCTGCAAAAGCAGTGTCACTTCTGCCCCCTTGCATGGTAACTGTAAACCCTCCTTGCATTAGGAATTGCAAAGTCACTTTGAAATTCAGTTCTTCATTACTTCTTACTGTCCCTGCGATGGGACACTGTACAGATGCCCACCAATGCTTTCGTTTGTGACCCACAGTGTCTCTGGGTGACAGCAGCTGGTTTTCATCCTCCCAAATTCTGGTAGTAAAATAGTTGCTTCTGGAAATAAGGATAGGCCACCCAACCTTGTGCCTGGCACTGTGGGTCCCTAATTAACAAATGGGAACTACTGCATCAGGTGTCCCATCCTCAGATGTTAAGAGATTAAAAAGTCTAATTCAGACCTACCAGGTATGAAATCACTGCTCCTCGGCCTGGCTCCGTTACTGCCCAGAGGCCTGCAGGGTCAACTGATTCATGGCCCCAGCAGGCAAGTAGAGTCCCTTCTAGGTAAGTGAGAGCACTTCCCATAAATCTTAACCACATAAGTAATCGTATTAGCAGTAGGAGCTGGAGTTAAGGTTCTCCGGGAACTCTGAAAGCAAATTCCCTTGTCTGGGCAACTAACACATCAAAATAAACAGGGAAACTAAATCGGCTGCATGTGGCAATGAGCTGCCCAGTGTGAGGGGGAAAGCAGCTGCCAAACAAACTGGAGAAGGCCTTAGGTGCTGCAAAATCCTAGCCACTAATCTCTTCTGTTCATCTGGGTGACTGACTTAACCCCACGTCCTCTAAAACAAAGTAAAAAATACTTATCTGACTGGCAGAATCAGAGTTTTGGTTGCACGCAGCAATGTTTGCATCTTGCACCTTGAATTTTAGGGTATGTTCTTGGCATGGATTTTAGTGTAAACTGGAGCAGGAGAGAGAGGAATTTAAGGTATGCATGAAGCCTTTTGCCACTGTTCAGCCAGGAATTTTAATCTCCTTTGTGAACATTGGTATTTATCAAAGAAATGCTTGATGGCAGCACACATCAGGTTGTCCTCTGGTCCCAAGAGGGTTTAAAACACTGGTGATCTGAAAGACTTCACTCCATGAGAGTGAGAGCAGAGAGAGAAGTGGTGGTGGAGGCAATGGGAGTGTGTCACTGAGCCCATGGCACAGGGGGATGTGGCACCAGCGAGCAGGGGGAGAGCAGCATTGGGGGCCAGCAGGTAGGCGGTCCTTACCAGTGAGAATGGACACCCTCCTGCGGGAGAGATATAGGGGACACAGTGATGATGGACGCCACCAAATTCTGAGTGCTGATGCCCTGCCTGCTGTAATTCACTTATTATTTATCATTCTCACGAGCGTCAAGGGCTGCTGTGAGTCTTAAGGGCCAGCTTCTTCCTGCCTGGCACTGGGGTGCCACGGGTGCCACGGGTGCCACGGGTGCCAACTTTGGAGCAAAGCACCAGGCAAAATGGCCGCCTTTCACCCACCTGCCGGGCCTGCACAGGCTGCCTGCCTGAGAAGGCATTTCCCCCTCCGCAGCACGTTGTGTCCCCCAAGCTATTGAGTGGGAAAGACAGTGTCCCCCTTTCTCAAAGAGGTCTCAGAGGGCAGATGTCCAAAAGGGCCAGGCAAGGGCAGTGGGTATCTTAAGCAGCACAGAGAGAGCAAGGAAAGATGTGGCAAAACCAGGTGAGACCAAGCACAGACTGGATGCTGGGAAGGGGCTGTGGGGAGCACAGCTCTCATACCCCAGGCACTGCTTCAAAGCCATAAAAACTTTAGTCCCTTAAGGAACATTCATGGCTCTTATGTCCACATGCCTCACAAGTTCTTCTACCTAACACCTGCAAAAATGTTGGCATTGATAAATACAAAAGATTGCTCTCTGGAATTACCAGAAAACATGTGAATCTTCTGTTTTCTCCTCTTATGCACTGTGTATTTATAGCTAACAAAAGCTAGATCATAGAATCACAGAATTGTTTAAGTTGGAAAAGACTTTTAAGATCATTGAGTCCAACTGTAAGCCTAGCCCTGCCAAGTCCACCACTAAACCATGTCCCTAAGTGCCACAGCTACCCGTCTGTTAAATACCTCAGGGGTGGTGACTCCACCACTTTCCTGGGCAGCCTGCTCCAATGCCTGACAATCCTTTAGGTGAATAAATTTTTCCTAATTTCCAATCTAAACCTCCCCTGGCATAGCTTGAGGCCTTTTCCTCTTGTCCTATCACGTGTTACTTGGGAGAAGAGACCAACCCCCACCTCACTACAACCTCCTTTCAGGGAGTTGAAGCAGAGGGATGAAGCCGCAGCTCTCAGTAAGTTTATTTTCTTCACCATACAGGAGATGTGCATCGTGGAAGAGCCTCTAGAGGAATTCACATCAAGACACAGTCTGGAGTGGAAATTTTTATTCCTGGATCACAGGTTCGTGACAAGAAAAGCACTCCTGGTTGGGTTCGATGCCTGTCTACTGCACTGCTGTAAGTGCAGTTCTCTCAAATAGTGATCCATTTCACATCTAAATCGCATGAACAGGAGGGCTGCCACTGAAATGCCTACAAAAGCTGATGTTTACTATTTTACATTTATTTTTGCATTTATTTTTTCAGTCTTTTGAAACAAAACTACTCTGTTTCTCAGGCTGAATTTGTGATTAGCTTGTTCTTGTTCCCTTTGAAAATATCAATAGACCAAGGTCTGTCACACAGCAAAATGATCTAATTGTTATACAGCTGCAGAAATAATTCTTTCCCAATACAGCCAATGATTGTGCAATGTGCAATTCCCACTGAGTTATGGAGAGAAAGTCTGTGCTGGCCTGAGGCAACCAACCGTGCTGGCAAAGGTACAGAGCAACTGCCTCAGCACACCACAGATGAGCTCTGCAGGCACCCAGAGGGAAGGGACACAGAAGACCTCCCCTCCTACCCCCCTAGTCCCAGCAGATGATGGTTTCCTATCACCTTGCCATGTGCTTTCCACCATGTAGGAACTGTGGGAGCTGCAGCAGAGCTCCTGATGAAGGAAGTGCCAGGGAATTGCTCCTTCACAGCAGGTTCTTATGTGAACGTCCCTGAGAAGCTGATTTCATTTCCACAGCCACATTTTCCCTAGAAAGATGGGGTTGTCGTGGCCTTGTCCTGGGAGGACAGCACCTGCTGGCACTGCTGTGCCCAGCCAGGCATTCTGGGCACAAAGTAGGGAAATGTCAGAATTCAGTCCCCTGGGATGGACAACTGATGAGCAAGAGCAGATCTGGGATTTTTTTACATATCCATGTCAGCATGCAGAACCACCATTTCTTTCATGGTGTATGAATTCACTTATGTTGTGCCTTACTGCAGAGCACCGCCGATTATAGGATACTTGCCTTTTGAAGTGCTGGGTACTTCTGGCTACGACTATTACCATATCGATGACCTAGAGCTGCTAGCAAGGTGCCATGAACACTGTAAGTATCGCATAGCCCGGCTTCCTGTGGACTCACTGGGACACCGCCTTTCAGGGAAATGTAGTTTCAGTTAAAATTGGTTTCAGCTTGGAAGGTGAGGTTTGACCCTTGTCTCATGCCTGTATGTCTCAGCAGACTTATAGCAGACTGGGGGCACAGCAGCTGATTGGCATCTGGGAAAGACTTACCAAGCTCTGAAAAATACAATTTTACCTTCTGTATTCCCTGAAGCAGTCAGCAAAACTCACTGAATGGATAAAGTACACCAGATTAGACCTCCACTCTGTTAATAAGGAATATACAAGAATAGTTCAAGCAATCTCATAGAAGACCTTATTTTGTGTAAATTCTTGCAGATTATTTACCCTAATGTTGTTCACTGTGTAACTGGGATTACCTGTGATTATTTAAATGCAGACTATTAAGATTTAATTGAAAAATGCTTTCACTAAGTAAAGTAAAAAAGGTAATGCTTTTCAAATATTTGCTAACAGAACTGGCTGGAACATCTCAGTTTACCACCTCTGGGTGGCCTGAAAATATCCCATCAACATTGATTGCTATATAGTAAGGCTAAATACGTGCATATTTGGGAAACCCCTCGAAACCACTGAGGGAAAAAAAAAACCAAAGATTAATTTTGCTGATAAATCTTTAAAACCTGTAATACACCCCAGTTTACTGCGCTTTGAATTCTTGTCAGTCTGGGAATTTTCTTTCAGTTTCAAATTATTTTTGTCTTTGCACAGTGTTATCTCCTACACTCACTTCATTCTGCAGAGAATACTTGTCTTTTCAAGCATTTTTATCCCGTATTTTTATTCCTGCTATAGAACTTAAGATGATAACTCTTAGAAATTAATCCCAGATGTCTAATTAAGCAGTATGTGATCAGCACATAAATCAGGGTAAGATCTATGTTTAAGTTGTAGCGGACATTAATGTATTAGTGACCAAAGTTAAGGTTAATTGTACTGTGTATGCATGTACCATTCAAAGTGTCAGAAAAAGATACCTACTGATCTTTATATTTGCTTTATCATAAAACTTGACAGGACTGCTCACCCAAAAAGTGCTTAAACTCCTGTCTCCCTTGGGAATCAATGCGGCCAACAGATTTTTGTCACCCTTTTCCCATTTCCTGTCATTTTCACGTTGGAAATTGTGCTACAAGCTGTGTGTATTTTCTGCTGACAGTGATGCAATTTGGCAAGGGGAAGTCGTGCTGCTATCGGTTTCTGACCAAAGGACAGCAGTGGATCTGGCTGCAGACCCATTACTATATCACCTACCACCAGTGGAACTCCAAGCCAGAGTTCATTGTGTGCACGCACATGGTGGTAAGGTATGGAAACTCCTATCAACCGGCGGGGGCATTCAGGACAGTAAGATAAGGGCATCCTCGTGACTGCCAACATTTTCTCTTAAAAACATAACATCTTTTACGTAAAAAAAAATAAGCCTGAACTCTCTGAAGGAAATATGTTCATCATAGAAAAATGATGGGACTAAACCTAACTTTATGCTAAGCTCAATTTATCAATCATGAATTTAGGGGGAGATTAACTGTTGCGTTTTTCCATTTTGTGCAAAAATAGAGAATAGACAGATCCCTTCCTTAACCTATTCACTTCCTCTAATCCTTACATTGTTTTTACAGAGATGCATGGAAACTTTCCAGTGAAGTCATAAAGTGCTTGCAGGATATGAACTTGACCTTTATATATACTTTTTTAAATGTACTTCTTGACTTCCAAGAAGATAGGAACAGAGCAAAGAGTGAAAATTAAAACAGTCTCTCAAATGCTATGCAGTAGCATTTGACTTTTCAAAGTGATTTTTCAGCTGTTCATTTAACCTGTAAAATGTTAGAGAAATTTGGTCCTCCACTTGCTGAAAGTACATTTTATGAAATATAACAATACCACGTTGATACATAGAATTGCATTTTCCATTCAGTTATGCAGATGTTCGAGTGGAGAGAAGACAGGAGATGGGCTTGGAAGAAGTGTCCTCAGAGGTTGTGTCCTCAGCACTAAAGGTACAAAGAGAAATGGTTTTTTTCATTAATATATGCAGTAATCACAACTTGTTTCTGTGTTAACATCATTGAAGACTCCAGCATTGTCTTTCTGGGTGGATTCCCTCAACTTCAGAATTCATTGCTCACTTGAGTGATTTTAAATTAAATTGGATAAGCTCATGAAAGGATAAACCTGGAGATCAGCAACAGCCACAAATTAAGTGGAACATGAGCAGGGGCAATGTGAGATATCTCCATCTTTCCTTGGCAAGGTACTGCAGTTTAAAGATTCATTTGGACATCTTCTGGCAATCAGCCTTCTTGGCTACATCTCAGTGATCTGCTGAGGGAAGAAAGAAAAGCTCCTCCTCAGTGCACGGCTGAGCATCTCACAGAGGTTGCAGTTGCTGTCACATCCAACTGAACACAAAAGAAAGATTAGGAAAAACATCTGAAGGCACAAAATTACTATGGCAGTAACTTGCTATTTATTTCCCACTCAGTGACAGCTCTTTGTAAAATGCATTAGATGCTATTTGGAAGGGACTTTGACACCTGTGCCCAGGTCTTCTACTGCCCTACCTGGGATTAGTTCTGCTCAAGTCATTTTAGGCCAGCTAAAGAACTGGGTGTGCAACCATTACTAGATGCCTTTCAAAAGGATTTTGCCCTGACAGACACAATAGTTTTTCCCTTTTTGTTTGATTGTTTTAGGACAGTGGCACCAGCTTGGATCCTGAACAGCACTTTAATGCACTCGATATTGGTGCCTCAATCCTCAGCGCTAGTCGGACACCCTCAGTGTCATCCAGAAGCTCACCAAAATCTTCCCACACACCCAAGTCGGACCCAGCATGTGAGTGGCAATCCTGGGTTACTGCACTATTTTTAAATTAGCCAAGTTACAGAATGTGAGCCTATATAACACTGTTGCTAATTTAACCGTTATCTATGAGGTATCAATGATAGGTGTTTGTCACTGACAATGAAATGCATAACCTGAAATGGTAACATACAGGACAGAAGGTTCAAGTGCAACCACTCATACACTGGAAAATGAGTAGCCGGACTAGCCATGTGTCCTGCTGTTTCAATCTGTTATCAAAATGAGGACTTCTGTCTTCTGATTTGAGGACATCAGTGTGAGCAATACGAGGCCCCTCTGGTCTTACGTGAGTAATAGCAGCCTGTGGGTGATTCTCTTCTGGCCAAGATTCAGGCTGTTCCAGGCAAGACTTGGGCACACCTTATACCCTCTTTCTGCTCCCTGGTACAGAAGAAAAGCCAATGAACTACCCAAATTTACAGTTATTCGGCCCATATGAAGGGAGATCCAGCTGTTTTAGAACAGCTCTTGGGTCTTTTTGCTCCATTCATCGGAGCACAAAATCATAATCTGACTCATGTGCTTTTATCTTGTCCCAGGCCCTCCTTATCAGTTTAATTTTACTGCCATTGACGTAAACAAGAACAGCCTTGACTCCCGCTGGCATTTAGCCAGGCCGTACTCATTTCTAGCCAGGTCTTCTTGTAATCATCACTTCAAACGTGGATGATTTCCAGCATGTGAGAACTCACTGATACTTTTCTTGCAGCTACACCAACAAAACTGCTTGCAGAGTCTAACACTCCCTTGCCAAGAACGCCAAGCGCGCAGCAGGATTTATCCGTGCACAGACTCAGTCAGCCTACTGCTCTTCAGGTAACTTCACAGGCATCAAAATAGGCAGACGGTGTAAAGCACGTGCCACACACGCAGCTTAGCAATTAAAAATTACTTACACAAAAGCTATGACTTTTAAAGGAGGCAGACTTATAAACAAAGTTTTGTTTTGTTTTGTTTTGTTTTTAACCCAGGTTTCTTTGCCTTCTCAGCCTTCATGTGAGCTTCTCCCACAGCAGCTGCTGCCTCAAGTGACTCTACAAAATCAGCCTGCACCTCTGGCACAGGTTAGTTGGGGATCTGGAAGTGGAATAGGTCACTTGCCTGTCTATTTCTTGATATTTTCTCCTTCTGAGGGTTTTAAGCTTACCTCTTTACTAGCTAAAATCCCCAAATTCACCAGCTCTCAAACACTTCAAATACTGTGGGAAAGTAATCTGAACTGTATGTGTGTGTTGAAACGTGTCTGCCTGCTGGCATCCAGAGCAGAAGCCCAGGTACGTGTAGGCTCAGGTGCACACACACATCTGTTTCACAGGAAGACAAAAAACAGATGGAAAAAAGTGTTTTCAACTTTGCTTCTACAGAATCAGGTCCCATCAAAATCAAGGTCACAGTAAGAATTAAAAGCAAACCAAAAAACTATCAAAGACCCAGTCTTCCTAAAAACACCTGTTTGTCTGTGCTGATGCAGAACTAACCAGCAGTAAGGGACGCACAAGTTCAACAAAACCCATTTTGTGAGTGCACCAGTAATGGTGAGGATGCTGCTAGAAACAAATTCCTCAGTGAAATCTATTAACCTGTATCTCAAAAGTGGGTAATGGCCCAAAAAAACACCTCAGTGTTTCATTTGCAGTGGATTTTGAAGGAATAAATTTGAGTACCATGCTTCAATCACATTGTTTCTCTCCTGTGGTTATGCTGTGATGATACACCTCATCATCCTCTGATTTTACAAATCACAGAGTAGTCCTGGACCTAGGTTACTTCTTCTGTTGGTACCCTGTACTCCTCACAAGATGCCAGAGTTTCTTCCTGTAGCATATAAAACAGAGAAAGTCCTGAGGATCCCTGCTTTAAAATAATAAATTCTCATTTATCTTCTGTGTTTAATATTCTTTTCACGACTCCACAGCAGCATGCAGCGAAGAAGCAGCATATCAATTATCTGCTCTGAGCATTCATTTTCTTCTACAGATACTTTCTCCGTTATTCATTAACGCACTTCCAAACATCAATTAGTTTATTTATTATAAAACCACGCTTGTTTTGTTTGACTTTTTTCTACCTCCTTTTCTTCTCTGCCAAAGCTCTTTGTGAAGAGAGGCTTTCCAGTTGTTTACCAAGAGCCTTGCTGCCTTTCCCCTTCCCAGTAAAACACTCTTACTGGCACGCCAGCTCCATTTCTTCTCCACCAAATCCAGTCACACGACCACTGGTTAAGCCTCTTTGGGCTGGCTAAATCTCAGTGAAAGGAAGAGGACTGACTTGAGTCTGTCTACACAGGCAGCCTTCTGGCAGCAGAGTAACAGCAACGCTCCTGGCAAAGCTCAAGATGGAGCTTCCCTTGATGCGAAGCAGGGAAATAGCACCAGGACGTTGCAGCTCAGGTTGCTGAGGCTCACACACCATAGAGATACTCCTAGGAAAGATAGCAGTTCTCCGCAGACTTGGGTGGTTTCCATAAACTATTAATTGCTTTCTTCAATTGCTTACCTCCCACCTTAAAATAATAAAAGTCTCAGCCTACAGCAAGATAATCCATTATTTAAAAGACCTGCAGCGCTAAGTCAGTGAGTGACAAAACCCAGGTACCTGTGCTTCCCACCATGAACATTTCCTCGTTGCCATAGTTGACCGTTTTGCAGACGTTCAGCAGCAGAACACAAGCTCACCACTTTCAGAAATAGTGTGGCTGGGTGCCCCATCACCAGGAGAAGCTGCACAGGTTGCTCCCTGCTGCCTTCATCTCTCAGCTGACATTTACTGAGCCTGGTTACACAGGGCTCTGACGGGTGTCCTTGCGGCCAACATTCGGCTACGGGGCAGCAGTCGGTGGGGAAGGACATTTTAAGCAGCCGCGACCGCATCCGCAGCGAGCAGCTATCTCCTGCCTCAGGCACCATCTGCTTGAACTTCGATTAGTTTCATTTTGAGCAAAGGCTGCAATGGTTTTTGTCTCCGCTGAAACACGGAGTCTGAATGAACAGGCAGCACAATACTAGATGTCGCCTGAATGTAAATGGTTTACTTTACATCAAGTGCTCCCTATTAGGATATTTGTTTGCTTGCCTTCCTCATTGTGATAAATTAAAAACCCCTACAACACAGCGGATGTTGATGACTGAATAATAATTAGCACTAATAATCCGCTTGGGATTGCGCAGGTGTTATTCGGAAGACAGAAAGAAAGAACAAGTTGTTCGGTGGGCTGTAAAACTAATGAAACCCAGGTTCCCAGGGGCTGCACCCTGCAAGGCTGGTGCATGAACCCACCTTTTCCAGTAGAAGGGAAGGACAAGTGGATCCCTCTCTCCTTTGCTCAGCTAAAGCTATCCTGAAATTACAGCAACCTGGCATTTCTGAGACTCTCGCAACCCTGTTGTATGTCTCTCACACCAGCCAGAAGGATTGAAAGTTGGAAAGTGGGCAGAAAAGAAAGGCTGAAAGGAAGCTGAGCTAAAAAATAAGTAGGGTCTCTTTTCTTTACCCAACTACCTGTTGTCATGAAACCTGGAGGAGCAGAATATCTTTGAGGTGTCCAACTTTTTGTTCATCACGTCTGGATTGGGGAACCGTCCCAACAGACACAGGGGCCATAAGTCCCTTCCCCTGGCTGCAGCCCCCCAGCACCTAAAAAGAGGGAGTAACCCTGGCATCCTGGGGTGGCACCCAGTAGAGAGAAATGCCCATCCCTGGGCATGGTCCACTTCTTTCAGATGTCCATGCTGACAGGAAGAGGTCACAGCCCAAAAGTATCAGCTCCTCTCCCTGGACTGTACAGCCTGTCTGAACCATCAGCACCGGCACATCCAGCCCATCCCTACCAGGACATCTGCTGACATGGTCCCAAAGCATCACTTTTATTTTATTTTATTTTATTTTA